TTTACCTCCGTGTGTCTATAAATTGAGATTCTCTTCTCAACCAAGCACAGTTGTGTTTTACTTCTTTATCCACTCTGATCACTTCTGCCTTTTAATTGGTGTGGTTAGACCATTAATATTTAATATAATTATTGATATGCTTATATTCAATATTACTATTCTTATATTCAATATTACTATTTTATTATTTTTCTATTTTATAATTCCTCTTCTTTCTTCCATGGTTCACCCTTTTACACCTTTTTGTGGATTATTATTCTTTTAAGATGCCTTTTCTTAATTTTCAATTTTTAACTCTCTTTGTATTATTTTTCCAGTGTTTGACTTAGGAGTTAAATATACATCCTCACACTCTCATAATCTACTTAGAATTAATGTAGCATCATTTTACTTAAAACACAGCAGTCTTGCAACTGCAGGGGTCCATCTACCACCCCACTCCTTCATGCTAAGGTTATCCTATGTATTATATCCAAAAATATTATTAGTCTCACAAGAAATGTTATATGGATTTTTCTCTAAACAATTGTGTATTTAATTTAATTTTATTTATTTATTTATTTTTGAGACGGAGTCTCGCTCTGTTGCCCAGGCTGGAGTGCAGTGGCGCGATCTCGGCTCACTGCAAGCTCCGTCTCCTGGGTTCACGCCATTCTCCTGCCTCAGCCTCCTGAGTAGCTGGGACTACAGGTGCCTGCGACAACGCCCAGCTAATTTTTTGTAATTTTAGTAGAGACGGGGTTTCACCGTGTTAGCCAGGATGGTCTCGATCTCCCAACCTCGTGATCCGCCCGCCTCGGCCTCCCAAAGTGCTGGGATTACAGGCGTGAGCCACCGCGCCCGGCCAGAACAGGCTATTCTATTAGCAGACAGGGTGCAGCCAGACATCCTTCATGTAACCTCTGCCGCCGGATGGGCTCCACACACCCGCAGAGAGCTGCCCAACCAGGTGTTTTCATCCAACAGAGCTGCATGGACCCATGCAAGTACTAAATCAATCAACCCACTCCCTTCTGGTCAATCCAGGTTCACCCAGCAGCTAAGGGAAGTGAGCCTTACCCGTGGGATGGAGCACGACAAACAGGACAATTGGCTTTGGAGGAAATAAATGATTCCAGTCAGACGACAAAGTTTTAAAAAACCTAATGAGAGTCTTCAGAAAAAATAGACAAGATATGGGTCTATGAATTCGGAAACAGCTTGCTATAAAAAGAAGGCAAGGAAAGGATAGAAAGTCACAGAAATTAAAAATATAGTTACCAAATTAAAATTCAGTAGAAGAAGTGGGGGGAAGACAAAGTCGAAGCAGTCTTTCAGAACGCATGACAAAAAGACAAGAGGAAGAAGGTAGTATGAGAAAGATGCAGAGACATGGAAGATGGATGCCAATGGACCCACGCTTGACTAATAGGAGTCATGAAAAGAGACAAAGAGACATGGAAAAAGAAAAAAACATTAATCAAAGAAATAAGAGGAGATGATTTCCCAGGATGAAGAAGAACACCTGTGATGAAAAGTTTCGGTTCCTGGCCGCCCTCCCGTTCTATCCTGTAATGCAGCTAGTATGGCTGGAGCTCCAGCAGCCTTTTTGGGCCATGAATTGACCTTAGCAATGATAGAAGCCAGACATGGTGGTACACACCTATAGTCCCAGCTACTCAGGAGGCTGAGGCAAGAAGATCACGTGAGTTCGAGACTAGCCTGGGCAACAGGCAAGACCCCATCTCTTTTTTAAAAAAAGATAGAAGTCTGGATTCTTTATTGTGCCTTTGAGCTCCATTCTAGTCTTGAAATCCTTACCTCCCAACTTCTTCTCTGAAAAGAGAAATAAACTTTCATCCTGGCCAGGCCACTGGATTTCTGCAGGTTTTCTGTTCCGTGTAATAAACTGGCTTCTAACTCTGTGCTGTCCAATATGGTAGTCATCGGCCACATGCAGTTATTTAAATATAAATTAACTAAAATTAAATTAAATTAAAACTCAGGTCCTCAGTCACACTGGCCACATTTTAAAAGCTCAATTGCCACATGTAGCTAGTGGCTACTATAGTGGACAAAGTAGAGACAAAACATTTCCATCATCGTGGAAAGTTCTGTTGGACAGCACTGCCCTAACTGACACAAATCCCTTCTCACAAAGATGCTTGTGTTCTGGCAAAGGACATAAAAACAATCCATTCTCTGGAGTACCCAGCAGAATGTGTGCCATTATGAGGTATAATTATGGAAGTCAAAAGGGCCTCCTAGAAGAAAGGCATCTGGGATGAACTTTAAGGCTCATGTGGGTATACAGGATATGGCCTGAAGACTGTGCAGCTTCAACAAAATCTGGAAGCAGAAAAGCACAAGACATGCTCAGAATCATCTAATTTTATTGATGTGTAGGATCTGGAAATCTGTCATGTCTTGAAATAACTAATGTCCTCTAAACTCACTGGTGGCAGAGATTCTGTAATGGCCAACTGCTTCTAGCCCCACCCTGAGCACTGCTGGGTGATATCCCCAAAATGCTTTTGCTTACTAAGACACAGACTTTTGCACAGTATGTAAGGGCAAGTATGCAATTTTATTTTATTTGTAGGTGTTACATCATTTTGATCTGAGACATGGCCATCCTACAGGCAATAAATATCATCAAGGAGACTTCACCACAAGTCACCAACAAATGTACCTTCTCATTTTGCAGTAGCTGCTAATAAATTGGCAGAAAGACCAAAACCATTCTGGATATTACATATCAGATTGACCAGTTCAAACAGGTGGTCTGCTCCTTCCATTTTATTAACCATTTCCTTGAACGCATATATTTACACCAAACAAATTTCCTACAGAAGCAGATATTTAACATACCCTATCACACAATATTCCACAGTTATATGTATTGTTTTTGGGGGAGACACTTGGTGTTGGGTGCTAGGGGGTGCCTCATTTACGCACAGATATTTACCAAGTCACGGCATACGTGTATTCCTTCCAAATGAAGACACATCTAAATACTTGGGTTATTTCTGCACTACTTATAAAGATTAAAAGGCATTTGAGCACCTCCCTAAAGACCTTTATATGAAAGGTCAGATCTTGTAGCAACTCACGAAGCACCAGAGCAGAAAATTAGCCTAAAGAGAATTGGGTTCCCAGCTGGGGCCAGTGTCAAGCACAGGGTTGAAGTTTCTGCCCGTAGGATTGGAACTCACTTAGTACTCAGGTCTAGCAGGCAGAAGAGTCGATGCACATTTGTTTTTCAACAATAACAAGCATTCCTGGTGCACCTTCTCCATGCCTGAAGCTGCTGTGGGACATGGGGCCACCACGTTGGGCGGGGCAGAAGAGAGTGCAGCCTTCACAGAAGCCTGGCTCCTGAAATACGTCCCGCAGAAACAATGCACTGTGGCTCCCCATGGTGGTTACACAGGACCACTTACTGCCCATCCATGGATACACACGTGACTTTTCAGCAACAAGGAAGAGGAAACATTTGAAAACACAGCTGCCTCTTCAGAACTCAGTTGCCAACAGCCTGCTAATTTGCCAGTTTCCAAATGATGTGGACGTCTTATGCATACTCCTGTTCATGCCAGCACCGTTTCTCTGCAGGGGCAGGGGTCCAGTGCATACGTTATTGATACGGCTACACCCAGGAAGCCCCTGTCCTGGCAGACCCCAACAGGAGGGGTCCCTCTTCTGCACCAGTGGCTCGCTGTTGTGTGACCCAGTGGTCCTCTGCTTTATTTACATTGTTTTCATTGGGTGCAGTCTAGATGTGAATGTCCAAAACAAAGCGGAAAACAGGAATCATACCAAAAGTTATTACGAGAGTGGACTGTGAGAGCTGCAAGGACTCCAGCCCTTCGCTTCAGAGACCACACAGACCTCCTGGTGTCCAGGCCACTGCTCTGACCACTGGCCCCTGTGTCCTTCCTTAGTATTTACCCCATCTAGTCATTTCTTTTTCTTTTCTTTTCTCTCTTTTTTTTTTTTTGAGTCTTGAACAGTCGCCCAGGCTGGAGTGCAATGGTGCAATCTCAGCTCACTGCGACCTCCGGCTCATGCCTCTAATCCCAGCATTTCTTTAAAATAAAAAGCAAACCCTATAGTGCTTTACAAATTTACAAGAAGCTCTCACAATTTTGCACTTTCATGGCCATCATGTACAGCCAGCACAGATGTGGAACCTGAAATGAGATGATTCAGGCCACACAGCAGTGAATGGCAGAGTTAGGACCTGAACTCGGGCTAGTCTAGGGTTGGGAGAAGATGGGGCTCCCCGGGCAATAGGTTGGGCCCTGACCTTTGTTGGCTACTGAAATGAGACTGACGTGCTGCCAAGTATACAGGCGAGAGTTCAGACTCCAACACAGATCTGGTGTGAGCCACTCAAAGCAAGCCTGGCTGTGGACGTGTGCTACAGCGCAGCACTGGCACCTTGAACCCCTTGAGCCCTGGAATGCCCCAAACACCCATTTGAAACCCCAGATTGAGCCCAAATAAGATGGTAAGAAAGTCACAGGTCTTCCACAGCACGTGAGGCAAGGTGTGTAGCATAAGGTTTTATGTCTGGGTAAGTGCAACACCATGATTGACAGAAGTACAATTATTCGGACAATTATGAACACAAGTCATGAATCAAAAGTTCAGGCAAGGCAGGCAAAGAAGACATTTCAGAACAAATGAACAGACTGCTTCCGATGGAAGAATCTGGCCGCTCTGCTCTTCCCTGAAAAGCATGCATAGCTCAGAGTGCAGCCAGCAGACTGTGGACCTGCTTCTGGGGAGAAGCAGCAATTCCGCCTGACGTGGATATCAGAACTTTTCTTCCCGTCACAATCCGTTTTCATCATGCCTGGCTTGCACTCAGAGTGCTGTGCGTTCCCTGAGCACATGCCTGCTAGGTGGGAGGGTGGGTGGGGCCCCCAGAAATGGGTGGAGCAGTGGAAACCAGAGGACACAAAGGACAGTAAGAAAGTGTCATGACTGTTCCCAGAGTGGATAAACAACCCTTGCATGTTGGACACAATCACCAGGAACTGAACAGACAGAGCCTCTTAGGCCCATGTCTGAGCTGGTAACGAGAGAAAGGGGATGCTAGCACTCCCGCCTACCCTTGGCTGTCCCTTTGTCACAGGCGAGCAAACAAAGGAGAACAGAGCCACAGAGAGGAGCACTTTGTACTTAATCCCTTCCGGGACAGCTGCAGGCGATTCGGAAGCCTCGGCAGCAAATAATCTCCTTAAACGTCTTGCGCATCTCCCGGCTGCGGAAGGCATATATGAGAGGGTCCACCACGGAGTTACACATGATGAGGATGAGGTACATATTGAAGTGAGACATGAAGCAAGAGCAGTAGAGGTTCTGAGGGCAAGAAAGCATTAAAATGAGATGCAGGAAGAACGGGGCCCAGCACACGATGAACACGCCCAGCAGCATGGTGAGGGTGACCGCGCCCTGCACGCTGGTCCTCTGCCGCGCAGAGCTGGCCCCGGGCAGAGCCGCCATCCGCTTGGCGTGAGTCCGCGCCAGGAGGAACATGTGTATGTACAGAGACACCAGGAGGAAGAGCATCGTGAAGAACATGGAGATGAGGCACAGGATGACGTAGGTGGACTCGGAGTACAGGATGAAGACGATGCCGCAGCCGGTGCAGAAAGCCCAGATGCCGGCGATGATGGCCCCCGAGCGCCTCGCCGTCATGATGTGGTGGTAGCGCAGGGCATAGAAGACGGTGACGTACCTATCCACCGCAATGGCCAGCAAGCTGCACATGGACGCCACCACGGAAATGCAGATCATGGAGTCAAACACGTTGTCAATGTGGCGCACAAAGGCGTCTGCTATCACTAGGTGCTTGTTGTTGAGCAGGTAGATGGTGATGGTCTCCCAGGCGTTGGACATGCTCACCAGCATGTCGGCCACCGCCAGGCTGCATACGAAGAAGTACATGGGGCAGTGCAGGTTTTTGTTCTTCACTATGGCCCCTATAACCAAGATGTTCTCCACGAGGCTGATGGCACCCAGAGTGAGAAACACCTCCACAGCGACGCCCATGTTTTCACAGGGCGAAGACTTGTTTCTGACACTGGGTCCTGAAAGGTTGCCCTCTGTGGCATTCAGGTTGAGATCCAAGAAATGCAGGTGAAACGAGGAATTCATTGCTGGAGAAATTCACCTCTTGTCTTGGCAGCAAATTTACTGTAAAACACGTTTTAAATTCACAATCCAGGGAGGTCAGCAGCCTACCAAAGAAAGACAGCAGCTTGCCTAGAAACAACACAGCCTGAGAAAGGGGATGAATGAGTGCACTGCATCAGAGGACTGAGCTTGGCTTGCTCAATCCTTTTTTTTTTTTTAAGAGACAAGGCCTCCCTGTGTTGCCCAGTCTGGTCTCAAACTCCTGGCCACAAGCAATCCTTCTGTCTCAGCCTCCCAAAATGCTGGTACTCCAGGGGTGAGCCACGTGCCCAGCCGCTGGCTTGCACCTTCTGACCTGCGTTCCTGAGACCTGGAAGAGTGCCCCTGGATGCGTGGATTACAATCTTCCCCAGCCTCTTCTGCTCTCCTAGCTTTCAGCTCCCAGCCTTTCACACGCATCTTACTAGAGAGACACTCACCTCCATGTGCCCAGGACAGTTTCTCTTTTTATGGCTGCTCTCCTGGGCTCAAGTTCACCATCGAAAATGTCCCCAACTCATAACCTACAAAATCCCAGCCAGTCTCCCGAAGTTCACATTCCTAAGGCTACTGCACGACCTTCTCCTCCAGGGAGCTCCGATTTAAGACTGCACAGACCCGTATTCCCTTAAGAGAGAGAGACAGGTGCATCCCCAACATTTGTCCTGACACCTCTCAGACCCACTGGGATTCAGCCTCCACAGCTGTAAGTGAGGTTATAGCCAGAGTGGTCTGTGACCCTGAGCAAAGTCACATGTTAAAAGCTACTGTCTTAAGTTTGGAAGTGTAGGCTGCACATACATGTTAAACTTGAGGAAAACAGTGCTGCTTTTCCTCATACCTATTTTTCCCTCCTTCTGCATTATGTGGAATTCCATGAGGTCTGACTGAGTTTATTAGGTCCGCGTGAGCACAGTATAAAAAAACAGCAGTTTACATGTACCACACTCCTTTGTTGCAAAATGTCTCTCTTATGATTCATTTTCAAAAATCCCTTTGCCTCCAAACTCAGATCACATCTGGAGAGAATTTCTGTCATCGCTCTCATCATTAATATTGGCGATCATTCCGGGAGGGAGGGAGGGGGTGAGGGACAACAGATTACTTAACAGGTACAATGTGCACTATAGGGGTGCTGGCTACACCAACAGCCCGGGCTCCACTACTAGGCGATATATCCATCTAACAAAACAGCACCTGTACCCCCTAAATCTATAAAAATAAAAAAGGAAAAAATTGGTAATCATAAGCATTTATTGAACTGCAATCACTGGTTACATGCTTATGTCCAGCTGCAGCTCACAGATACCGGTAAATGATGGAATTACACTAAACATCATATCCAGCTGTGTTAAAAACTCAGGGGCAAGCCGGCTGCCGCCCCGCTCACTTCCACAAGCAGCGGACGCGCAATTTTACATCTACTTTCAGGATCGCAAGGAGATAGAAAGTTGTGGCTATTTACCGGTGCTCCTCCTCGCGGGCTGCGGCGCTCAGCCCGGGCCCCCGGCGTCCCCGGGATCTGACGGCCGCGCGGCGCTCAGGGCCAGCCCCGGACGGGCCTCCACTGGCGGCTCTGCCGGGCTTTAAGCTTCCTGCCCGCCCGCGCCGGGCCCGCCTCCGCCGCCGGCTGTCGCTCCGGGCGGCCTCCGCTGCCACCTGGTGGCCCCGCGCGGCACTGCGGCCAGAGAACCGCGCCAGCCCAAGCGAAAATCCTCCCCCAACGCATTCTTGAATGGTTGGTTGGTGGGTTGGTTGGTGGGTGGGTGGGTTGGTTGGTCGGTTGGGTAGTTAGTTGGTTGAGTGGGTGAGTGGTTGTTTGGTTGATTGGTTGGTGGGTGGGTGGGTTGGTTGGTTGGTTGATTGGTTGGTTGAGTGATTGCTTGGTTGGGTAGTTAGTTGGTTGAGTGGGTGAGTGGTTGCTTGTTTGGTTGGTTGGTGGTTGGTTGGGTGGGTGAGCGGGTGGCTGTTTGGTTGCTTGCTTGGTTGGGTGGGTGGTTGGGGGTAGTTAGTAGGGTAGGTGAGTGGTTGCTTGATTCATTGGTTGGTTGAGTGGATAGTTACTTGTTGCTTGGCTGGTTGGTTGGGTGGGGTTAGTTGGTTGGGTAGGTGGTTGGTTGCTTGGTTCATTGATTGGTTGGTTGGGTGGGTGGGTGGCTGGTTGGGTGAGTGGATGGTTGCTTGGTTGGTTGGTTGGGTGGGTGGGGGTTAGTTGGTTGGGTAGGTGGTTGGTTGCTTGGTTCATTGGTTGGTTGGGTGGGCGGGTGGGTGGTTGGGTAGGTGGGTGGTTGGTTGATTGGGTGGGTGGGTGGCTGGTTGGGTGAGTGGATGGATGGGTGGTTGGGTGGATGGGTGGTTGTGTGGGTGGGCGGTTGGTTGGGTGAGTGGTTGGTTGGTTGGTTGGGTGGGTGGGGGTGGTTGGTTGGGTAGGTGGGCGGTTGGTTGGTTGGGTCAGTGGGTGGGTGGTTGGGTGAGTGTTTGGTTGGTTGGGTGGGTGGGTGGGGGTTGGTTGGTTGGGTAGGTGGGTGGGTGGTTGGCTGGTTGGGTAGGTGGGTGGGTGGGTGGCCGGTTGGAGGGGTGGTTGGGTGGGTGGCTGCTTGGTTATTTTTCTGGCTGGTTGCACTTTTTGCTTCTTTTCTCTTCCTCTTACCGACTGATTAAAATGCTCCCCAGCTCAAAGAGGGCTCTGTCACCCCCTTTCTCCCGGATGGCGGTCTCTGGGATCTCCTGATGATTGTTCTTTGGGAAGGAGGCCCAGTGCCTGGGAGCCCTCATCTGTGGCCCTACAACGCCCCTCTTTGCCCGAGGCTCTCACCCCTCCTCCAGGACTGCACGTACCATGCCAAGCTTTATCAACCACACAAGCTTTCCTTACTCCAGCAAAAAAGAGAACAAAGGATGTCCTCTTGTCAAATATCCTGGCCTTTCACAATAGTTTCTGGACCACTCCTTTCTCTGACACCTGAAACTGACCTTCAACCCCCAAAAGAATCATTATACTCACGATCGGCAGAAGCACCACTGCCCCTGCAAGCCAGGGCAGGATGCACAGGGCCATATCACTACCAGAGCTTTCCCTGGGCTTCGCAGATGATCACAGCCTTCCAGCAGTTCGAGTGTGGGGACCACAGTCTGGCTGGTCTCAAACGCCACTGGAGTCCCGAGCCGTGCTGGGAGCTGCGGGGTGGAATTCTAGGAGGAGGTTCTGAATGTTGAGAATACACATTGGGAATGTGGTGTGAGGGAGGGAACTCGTTTCTGTGTGTTGAAAACATCGGCAGAGTCAAGTACTCCCGCATATAGTCCTCACATCCAAGATCAGAGAGGGCTCTGCAGAAGGTCCTGGCATCCCAGGAAAGTGCTCAAAATTGAATCCTCTGTGCAAAGTGAGCAGCTGGACCGCAGCACGCAGCCTCCCACACTGGTCAGGGCAGCTGGCCCGGGGCCCTATGTGCAGGGGAGACCCTGAGTGCTGCACAGGAATTACCTTTCTCAATCTTTACAAAACCCTAGAAGTGGGTTTCTCATCTCACAATGGAGGGAACTGGCGCTTGGAGAGGTTTAGCTGAGCCCTGACCGACTCAGAGCCCAAGCACTTCTCCCTGCAGGACTCAGCCTCTCTGAGAGCCCTGGTGCCACCGGGCATTATTCTTTTAAAAGCTGCTGGATTTGATGCGCAGTGATCCTGGCTTCATACTGTCTTTATCAGATGTTGGCATGTAAGTTACCCTAACTTTGCTAAATAAACTGGGGAGAGGTTTTATTATTTTCCTATTCTGAAACACCTTAGGTGGTATAGGAATTCTCGGTTTCTTGCAGGAAAATAATGGAATCAAGGTCAATAGAGTTAAGAGAGTATAGACTAAGCTCTTCAGCTGTTCCTGTCATTGGAAACTTTCTCCCCAACAGCAGCCTAGTGACGATGCTGGACACACACAATGACATGGCACTCTAGGAGCCAACCAGGAAGGAACGCTCCTTTCCCTGTCAAAGACCAGCGTAACCTGCAACAACCCAGGTGTTTTATTTCTTGAGCAATGACAACAGAGATGATTCTCAATTCGAATGCACAGAGACAACCTGTGGAGTCCTATCTGTGAAGGCTTGCAAGGGTGAAATCTAGCTGGACACTGGATGTTTCAGCCTGGGTTCTCTGAGTCATGGGCTCTGAGGAGTTCACCGTGCACGATGCTGTGGGGAAGCCTCCTGGGGGCAGGACTGCGGAGGGAGAAGAGAGCTGCCAGGCAGCCCCAACAACCTCAGCCCTCAGGCCCCACCCAGCTCAGTCACCAGAAGCAAGCTGCTTCCGGGAAGGTGTGAGGCCAACCCGGAGGGGCTGACAGCTGGGGGAGGCAGCAGACCACCCCTACAGTTGGGCAGTGGGTCCTCCCCGAGGCGTCTGGCACAGCTCTGTGTCTGTCGCTCTCATGGCACCAACAAATGTCATCTCTGTGCTCAATGCCACCAAGGGTCTGGACGAGGGCACTGGGAGACCTGCTGCAAGGCAAAGCTCACCCAAGTGAGTGCTGAGAAAGCAAGACAATCACAAATGCTGGGTTATGACCATTTTTAAACTCCAAGGATTACAAAACACTTTCATATATTAACTTCTGTAATCCTTAAAACAACCCTGGGAGGTATGAACATTATTACCAGATTCATATACACAGACTCTGAAGTTCACAGTTTCTCACACTATTTGGCTGGTCAGTGGTGCCACCAGCTGTTGATCCAAATCTTCTCAATCCCAAGCCCATGTTTATGTAGATGCACTTGCCACGTCACACATGAACATTGGGCTATGCAATCCTAGATATGCACGAGTTTTCCACCTTACGTAGAAAGAGAAAAGGGAAGGAACATTTGCTGGGAGCCTGCAGTGTCCAATCAATACTGTGGTCTGCATGTCCGAATTCTCAGTGAATTCTCCCAGTAGTCGTATAAAGTCGACATTCTTCCCACCACCTCACAGCTGGGGAAGCCGAAGCTCCGAGGAGTCGTGTGATGGAAGCAGGATGGTTGTGTGATGAAAGCAGGATCAGGATCTGAATCCAGACTCCCAGGTGGTGTCTGCGCTTAATCACAGTCTAAGGACGCAAGCCCTATGCCTGGGATCCCAAAGGCAGGCAGAGAGGAACCGGGGGAAGGCATGAAGCGAAGGGAAGAGAATTGGACAGGCAGAGAGGCCCGTGAG